GATGGATGGATGGATGGATGGATGGATGGATGGATGGATGGATGGATGGATGGATGGATGGATGGATGGATGGATACGTTATTAATCCCAGGGGGGGAATTCGAGATTAGTAAATCTATATCATGTACAATGCTAAATGTAAGAGTTGTCATTGTTTTTTTTACGGGGCGGTTGTGGCTGAGTGATTAGAGCAGTCGTCCTCCAGTGCAAGAGTTGGGGGTTTGAATCCACCAGCAGTCATATGTCAAAGTGTCCCTGGGCAAGACACTGAACCTCTCATTGCCTCTGATGTGTGTCCCATCAGGGTATGAATGTGATAAAGCTCTGATTAGTCTCTTTAGAATGATGTGTTCAATTATCTTTGTAGAGATCTAGTATAGAGCTGTATGAATGGGTAAATAAGACACAGATTGTTGTAAAGAGCTTTGAGTGTCTTGATTAGATAGAAAGGTGCTATATAAGTACAGTCCATTTACCATTTTTAAACAGCCAGTTGGTAACATTTGTGAGATTAAAATGAGCATCATGTTTGTTTTCTGCTGTGACATTGAAAACACTCTGTGAAGAACTGGCAGCCCAAAGACTTTAGATTAATATTTCTAAACAAAAACTGCAAAAATCTGCTTTCAACAATCACAGAATCTGTAAAATAAAGCTTAAATCTAAACTGGCTGGCCATGATTTTCAGCACAGCTTTGAATATAGAAACAGCAGAAACCAGAAACACATCTGAAAAACACTGAGGGAACAGTTTGTTTCTCATGTGAAAAAACAGTCACATGCTTACCGTGACACACACAATTGGTTTACCTATAAAATACCTGTGAGGGCATGTTAATAGTCATAGTTAAATCAATGCCAGTCTAGAGCGGCCATAGAACTGGAAAGAATCTCTTCACTCAGATAATCAAGTGTACAATGCCACCAAACGTTTTCTATTGTCTCAAGAACATCTCTCCACTACATCACACATTCTATACGTACAAACCGGATTCCAAAAAAGTTGGGACCCTAAACAAATTGTGAATAAAAACTGAATGCAATGATGTGGAGGTGCCAACATCTAATATTTTAT